GGGTTGAGGGGTAGGGGTGTTGGAAGCAAACTCAGGGCCCCTTGGGTACACTTATTGGATCACCACCTTTTTTACTGAAGCTCCCAGATCAGTCTCGTTGCAAAGACTCAGTGTGCCAAGGACAGCGTGAAGGATGATTGAACATTCTGTCTTCTTGCCTTCTAAAAGTCATGGGATTTTCGATTGCATCTCTTGGTTCAAGCCTCAGTGAGACCTCTTCACCATTGAAACCGGATCTGATCTCGAAAGGCCGGAATGTGTGAGACCCTGCCCTAAACAGCACCGTGGAGGTCAATCTGACATGAACTAGAAGCCAGAACTGGGGAAAACAGTTTTGCTCCAAGAACCTTTTCACGTCAAGATCACCCGGCCTACCAAAAGACGGAGGTTGGCTGTCTCTGGCATCTTGCAGACCTGAGAGACACCACAGCAAAGCATTGGCCTGAACGAAAGTCTGAACGAAGCCCCGACCGACAGCTAAGACTTTTTAGGAGGGAGAGCGAGAGAGAGACTTGACACGCAGACTATCCGCACGTATATATATATATATATATGTATACATACATACATACATATAATGATATGCGCATACATAAATTAGATACGCCAGTGAAACGCTTGCTTGCCATCTCTGGCGCCTGTGTAAACTGAAACTGCAAGGCATCCAAGTCGCGAACATCCATCTTGTTCATTCCTCTTGCTTGCAAAAAACTCAGCTAGACCGCGATCAAACAATTAGATCGACGCAGTGCGACAGGGAGCGAGAGCGAGAGAGAGAGAGAGAGAGACGCGCAAGCAAACAAACAAACAAACAAACAGCAAAACAGGCCGACCGACAGAGACATGTGCGGGTATGTACACTAGTTGAGGCGGCACATGGAATATGCATCAACATGGATACATGCACTCGTGCTTGCGGTGCCTGCCCGATCGTGGCCAGGAAGGCATGCGCGGTCATTGGCAGATCCACACGCTTGGCGCGAGTCAAGGCGTCCAGCGCACCACGCCCCAGGGTCTGGCGACTGTTGATGCTTACATCTGAAAGGGCTTGTGCGACGACTCGCTTTTAAGAAGAAGTCTTCCATCGTTGCAAGCTCTTATGGCCGGATGGCATGCAGCGTGCTTCCAATGATGCTCTTAACACCTTTTTCTCATCATCCTCATGAAGTTTGAGATTTCTGCTTTGGCTCTCACCGATACCAGTCCCATTCACGCCTTGGCGACGAGTCCGGGTGCTGCTGGTTCCCTGAACATCTCAATGCAAGAGGTGCCGCATCGGGAGCCTAAGGTAGTGCCCAATTTGCTTGTCATTCCTGCCTGAGATCGGTATGAACAGGTCCGCATACCTTCGCAGACCGAAACATTGCAACAATCGAGCTGCCACACCAATGAGCTTAGATGCCAGAGTCTGTCGCTGGCCGCGCTGGCAGTGCCGACACCGGCCTTCTGGCACGGTAACCTGCACCTGCAGTTCAAGCCCGCCAGCAAAGGCAAGCACTCTGTCTCAAACCCCCGAGCCTGTGGTTCTGCGGGGTGGCGAGTGAGGACCTCACATGTAGCTCTGGCACCTCACAGCACCTCTGCACTTCGGTGGTGTCCGGACCCCAAAATATCAGTCCCGGACGTGCAAGCAGTGCTGCACGTACCGTGATCGGTCTGCCTCGTGGGTGCCATAGTCCTTTCAGGCAAGAATCTCTGCGAAAGCTGGCATGGGGCCAATGGCTTCAACTTCTCCTTCGTGCTGGGAAGATGAGGAGCCCAGACTTCGGCTCGGAGTGAGTGCCCGCAGTCGTACCTCACCACCTTCCACGGGCATGAAAAAGCATGCTTTCACCTTTCCTGGCATCTTTATGCAAGTCTGACTCAGGCAGCCGCGAACTCGTTGCAACCTCTGCGTTCCGCTATTTGCCAAACCTGTGCTAATGTTGGATGTTGTACGCATCAAGAGTGCCGCCATACTGTATATACTGTTTTCCACCTTTCGAAACCGAGGTGCAATGTCTGCGAAGTCTCGCCGTTGGTTGCCTTCCACCAGGGACAGCTCCTTGGAAGACACAGCCGGCAACATAGCGACTGGGTAGATACGTAAATTCTGTGTGTGTGTGTGTGCATGTACGCTGAATGTATGACTTTGTGCACGTTTGCTTGTTGAAATATATATGTATGAACGTGCATATGTATGTATGCACGCATGTATGCATGCTTGTATACACATGTTTGCAGACACGTATAGGTACATTTTCGGTTATATACGCATAGAGACAGGCATATGTGCACAGAGACAAACACAAAGAAAGGCTTGACTGACAGCATGACTTACAACTTGTCTCTTCTAAAGCCTTGAGCTGGGGCCAGTCTCTGCAATCAAGAAAACTACGCTCTCTGGATATCTCTCTGAATCTCATCTCATCACATGGTCACCGCCTGCATGACTTTGGTCCAGTGGATGGCCGGCTTCCTGCATGACATGATGTTCGTCAGCCTTGCTTAATGTACCGAATTTAGGTCCCGGGCAATCTCAGTCAAACGAATCACGTTCCATAGCACACCCAGTCTGTGATACTATTTGGGCTATTCCTTGGGATTGCATAGCTTGAAGCATTTAGTTAAGGCCCCTGTGACTCCTGTGCCAGGCCTGTTAAGCCAGTTGAGATGCACCTGTGCTTACTGGCTCAAAGTGGCGCCTCTGCTTACTGGCTCAAAGTGGCTGACCAAATTAAATATAGAAGAGATAACATGTCTGATGTACAATACATCAAACATATACCTGGAAACCAAAAGTTGTAAGGTTGTACGAGTGCTAGATACAACAGCTGCTTGTGTCTGAAAGTCATGCCGGAGAAGCTTTGCACAGCAAGTGAAGCGGGTGTTCGTATGGGCTCAAGTGTACCGCAACATGAGGCATCCTGCTCTTCGTTGTCATGAGCAGTTCCAGCTTCGAACTGCAAAGAAGCGACCTTTCCTGGGCTGATTTCAGAGATCGCATGGACTCCAATCGCTTTCTGCAGAATGCTGATGTTTATTTTCGAGTCCTGGTTGCTAGATGCTGTTTGTGGGTCTGTACATGATGGTGAAACTTCCTAATCGAAGCCGATGGTGCTGTACGGCCACTACCGGCAGTTCTTGAAGGCGGGCACCTCATGCGGCCGCCCCTCAGGAGAGGTCCACTGCCTCCGTGACCGTGCAGGGCAGGAGGAATTCTGCATCTAGGAAGCATCTCGTCTAGGACCAAGGCCTCCGTAGCATTTGCGTTGGAAGGCTGCAGGTGTTCCTTGACCTGTTACTGTTGCGTGAATGCGTGTTGTGGTGCCGCCGTGCGCGCGCTGCGATTGCCTTGACAAGGAACTCCGTCTTCCAAGCGTCGAGAGGCTTGATTGCCTCGAGTCTTCAGAGATGCTAGCTGCTTTGCCAACTCTTTCGCTATCTCGACTTGGCTCCGGTCATCAAAATCACCCAGCTTTTCCACGAAGGCATCGACGTCCCCGTCTTGGAGGCAGAGTGCTGGCCCGAAGTCCTAAACCAACCCTCGAATCCTGAAGCTCTTGAGCACACCCACAACAGCAACAATGACAACGAGGAAGCGGGAACGTCTGTCGTTGCAAAGGGTGCATTCTTCGTTGTTGTCGGACTTTTGCAGGAATGTGCAGAAAACTCGTCCTTTTTGTAGTTTTGCGGCATGCTTGTTGTCGTTCGTGTTGTTCGATGTTGGTGTGGGTTTCATAGCTTTCTGGAGTGCCAGTGCCGCTCGAGACTTTTGTTGCCGTGTGTTTCGCGGACACATGTAGAGGCAACGCGCAAATAGTCTTGCAGCAGGGCCACTCCGACGGAAGGAACCATAAAACCGAATCAAAGTTCTAAATCCGTCACACCAAGCCTGCAATCGTCACCCTACTTAGTTAAAGCCTTAAACTAATTGCGAGACTCTAACCCGAAACCCTAGCTTAAGCCCAAGACTCCAAGCCAAAATCCGAAAAATAATCCCCTGCAGCCCTAAAGCCCAACCGTTAGGCCGCTGTAAATTCCAATAGAAAGAACCCTGCGACGCAGCAAAACTCGAGCTTAGACCCTCCAAGAAAAACGCCGCAGGAGGCATGGACAGCATCATCCTGCTGCTGCCAACAGCAAAACAGCAATCACAATCATCACAATCAACCATGCAACTCAAAACTAAACAACTGAACAACGACACACAACAAACCTCAAGCAACAACGAACAATAGTCCGCAAGGAACAGACTACCAAAGGCAATCAGAAAGCAACAACCAGCATACATCAAACAAGCCAACAGCCGCAAGCACACAACAGCAAAACCACTCACAAAATAAACCCTAAAGCCCAGAAAAGCACACCTTCTCGCGACAAGGAACCGCTGTCAGCCCCTCCGCCCACAGGCTTACGGACGGCTTAGGAGCGGACCCTCAAAGGCCTGGGCCAAGTTGCCCAACAGCTCTCCTGGAACTCCACTGGCTTCTCAGGCTTCGGTTTAGGGTTTAGGGTTTAGGGTTTCGCGGGCTGTTCAATCGGGAACAGTGGCGGACTCCGTGAAGTCCTTCTCTCGAGCTGGCGAAACGAGGATCCAGAGACCTGCCAAACTTCAGTGCAACAAATATACCTGCAGAAGCACACCACCTCATGGTGGCAGCGACTGTTATTGTGCCTGCTAGCAATTGCTTCTTTCGACCTTGTCATTGGCACCAACGTGCTGTTCACGCGCGCCGCGCACCCGCCGACCACATCGGTATTTTTACGGTGTTGCGTGGACTTTGCAGCCCAAAACGTCGCGCCTGTCGCGTTTTTTTTGGGGGGAGCGGAGGGCGCGGTGGAGGCCTCGAAGGCATTGGTATTTGGCGGAGTTGCTCTGCCGAAAAGGTCGCGCCTGCCGCTGTCTAGATTCTAGATCAGACTCCATCCGTTCACGCAGAGCATC